AGGAGCTAGATTCTAACAAACAAAGTCAGCGCGCTGCCATCTTGCCAAATGGAACTGTCGCTTAAATTGATCACAAAATACAGTGACAAAGAATAAAATATAAATACACAATCATTTCACGCTTCTGAATAAATTAATAAATTGTTTGTCTCTTTGAACAAACTCATGATATAGTAATAATATATTTGACTAGGTATTAAAGTCGTAAAGTAGAGTTGGCGATTACAGTCGCTACGCTATGTACGCCAAGTATTCATTTATTTATTTATTGCAAAAATTATTAAATTATGATGGTTATTACCATATCATATAATATGGCCACATTTACAATCTAAAGATATAAATAATTAATATAGTTATCATATTGACATAATAATATAATGATGTTCATCAATTTGCAAGCATTAAAATTAATTACGATTTATAGTGCGGGTATAGTGTGTTTGGTCAACGTCAAGACGTATAGGTTGGTGACCCATCTTTCGCGTGATTGAGCGCTATGCGATAGTAAGTTGTAACTTGTAGAGCAGGTACAGTAATATAAAATACAAATGGCGCAGTGATTCTATAGTTATTTTTGAGAATAGATAGGTACCGGAAAAACACTAAATTGGGAGTTTGTAAAGGTAATGTACGTATATACAATATAGATACGGGCTATCATTTGAAATTGTAATCGCATTTGTTCGCATATTAAATAATAATAAACTTACCTAAAAAAAAATAAAAACTTATAAAATGTAATAATAAATATTTATATAGTTCTATAATAATTGTATATTTAAATTAATAAGTGTATCTGAAAGTTAAACAGTAGTTATTTAGTAGTTATTAGTTCTTATTTAGTTGTGTTTTAAATAACAATTCATGTAAGTTTCTGATAGCCATCCGGAAATAATTACAATTTTTTTTTACCTAGGTATTTCTGGAAATCAGACAACATAGTAGAAAATATAAGTTTTAAAGTCCTTTGGTTCCTTTTGACAATTGAGGAACCATAGGGTGAACCGATAGTATTTTAGCCACCGTAAATAGCTAAAATAAGTTGGTTAAAATATAAAGTAAAAATAAACATATACCTTTATAATACAATATACATATTATATATATATTAATAATATTAATTGGAAAACAGTATACTTGTAAGTAGATTTTTCTAATTTATTATTAATTTTTAAACAATAATTGTTTACGAAACTGAAAAATAAAACCGAAAATTACAATATTCAAGCACATGTAAGCACGCTACATCATTATTATAATATTTTATTATCAATGGAACGTTTCATAGCCTCATACCGTATGTATCAACATTATTTTAGGTATACGAGGTAAACATGGAAGCGTTACGCACGTTCCTTTTTCATATACGTTTTACAAGCGGATCTGATATTTATTGTAGTACATTGAATGATTTACGTAGGTATTTAACTGTGTCTTAATTTTTTAAAGCTGTAAGCCTGAATATTTTTCTGACAGCTTTGTATAAAATAACCATACCACCAGAGCTTGAAAAATAAGATGGTTTTCATAAACGTTAGTTTACAATGACGATTGTTTACGTTTCGATAAGCATATAAATTATCGGTACCTACAAACATTTTTATAATTTAAGTATAATAGATAGTATTTATCTTTATTTATTTCTAGTTATTTTTTGTTATCTAGGCCCAAAAATGTGTATAGATGCAAATATTAAAAAAAAAAAAATATTAAATATATTCAAACGATTCTAAGACTAAAATAGGATTGGAAAAATAAAAAGTTATCAAAATAAGCACATATAGGATAGATTAATATGGTAAAATCAATTCTCATACGAATGTATGTGGTATAATTTGCATTATTATTGATTATAGTTTCAATAAGTATATATATAATATATATGTATATCTGTTATGTTTTGATTAAGGTAAAAAGAAATTCTGTTCATAATAACATTGTACACGAAACGAAAATTCCTTTATTTTTATTTTCCAGTAAAATTGATTAAAGAGACCAATACAATGCCAGTGTGATTTTAAATCTAATCCATATTCTAGATATACCTATAGTTGGTATAGCGTTGTTATAACTTATAGTATATTATTATTATTATTTTAATATTATGTAGGTATAGACAGTGGGTTTATACTTTATATACTATCTCTATAATATGGTACCTACCTACCATAATTTCTACGGTAGACGGCTATGTGATTAACAGAATTCGCGTGCATTAGTTCAGAGGAAACGTGCACTAGTGAAGTACAATATTATAATCTCGTATGGTATTCGTATAATATACTATATGCGTTCACTTTTCTCGTTATTTACCTTCGGAATTTCATATAAGCTTACCAGACACATTATATTCGGACACGGGCGAAAGTGAATCCTGCAAACATCAATAATAACAATAATAATATAATAATTCGTCAATTATGATACATGATAATATATATAAGAACGACATGAATGATGTATGTGTATATTATGATACAGAGTTGGCCAAAAATACCAAATGCCGTCACACTTGTGCGTCAAGTGCAAATCATGCATTAGTAAATAATATTAGACGGTAGGTAGGTACACCGTGAAAAATTCTTATTCTGTTATCAGAGTATGACCACAAAAGGAAGCTAATGTGCTATACATTATTTGGTCAATAGACGAAAAGAAAACGTATCTGCACATAGATCTATACACATGTTCTATACGCACAATCGAGATTTACTACAAAGTATTCAAGTATTAATATTCTTAGTGATGGCAATATAGCGATGATGATAACTTCTTTATGCCGCCGCAGTGCCACACAATTGTAACTAATAGGTTTTGTATTATAGGCAACTACTACTTACTACTTAAGTGAATTATCGTATATGCACTGCCGTGTATAAAATATCGCATCACGATTATTGAACCAACTTATAAGCACGTCCCGTGTAAATTGAATAATGCAGTCGTGTTGTAGTGACACTTACCTAGAAATTATATAGTATCAAATGATATGCAATTATTAATCTAATGGAGCTGTGCCCCAATATTTCTTTTGAACCAATTTTGTTTAAAAATGGATATTGAATATACATTATTATAATCTTATCAACAGTCAAACATAACTCGTAGAAATAGCAGAAATCCTTGATAGATCTAATAGGTAGGTAGTTTATTACTGAATATTTTAAAAAGCGCATTGTTCGTAGTATTAACCACTCAAACCTTTTTACACCGGGTTTAATTGAATTGCATTAGTGTCATTAAGTAATTTTATAAGGTTGATATAAATGTAATTTATTAGAAAATAGAAATAGCTTTGACCATAGTTAGATAATTATTAATAATTCTAAAAACGTACATTTGAAATGAGAGGGTGGGTAATAGTCGACTACCATACCCAACGGCTGTGACGCTCCCCTATTCAGATTACGACTTTACTGTCATATTATATGAACCATTCGACCATAAGATCATATCATTAATATTAAAATAATCTAATATCCACTAAAATAAGTATATGCTCACAATGGGTACGGCATCAAATACAAAATATTTTTTATTCAAATATAAGTATTAACATTTAACATTATCCAAATTCATTAATTTTTAATATCGAATTAACGTATTTATTGTTCGTAACGTAAAGCATTGTTTTGTAATTATATTGACTTATAGTCAGATGAAACTTCTTAGGCAGAATGTTAGTTTTCAATCATACGAGTATAATATATAACTTAAAGTCTATAATGTCAACCTGTGATTCATTAAGCTATTTCTAAAATAATATATCACCATTTACTCGAAGTTTTTAAATATATATTGTTTTGACAATGGAAAATACATTTATTTCAACATTAACAATACTGCACTAATCAGGTTCACAGACATTCAAAGTTATCTTTTTTTGTTCGATAACTCGTTTGATAAATTCTTAAGAAAAAATAACAATTCACATCTGTCTTCTCTCAGACAGTTACGAAGGCGTCTGGATGAATGAATAGGTAAAATTATAAGTCTTTTGAATTTTGAGTGTTTTGACCACTCGTATAACAGGGGTAATGTAGATCCAGTTATCTATGTCGCCCTATCCGCCTTACTATGAATTTAATGTACTTACTTTTCACCAGGCGTTATTGAAATTTTTTTATACCGTTTATTTATTCAAAATATTGACCTTTTATTTGTTATTTTTTTCCAACACACGACGTCGAAACGAAAATACTAGCAAATATTTTGTATAATATACCTATTACATTATTACTATAAATCATAAATCAAATATTTTACACGATGTATATAATAATATCACAATAGTCGAGTAGGAAACGAGCATAATTATTATTAATATTATTATTATTACTATACTTAATCACATTGGCGGCATTGACGCGGTTAAAAATCAATTGTTTTCGGTATATCAAGCATGGCATTGACAGGTATAAAATACATTATAGTTGGTGGAATGTATTAATCATCAACGCGTTTACATAAATTACATAAGTAATTTTAGCGATGGCGATTGAATGAATCGTCAACATTGTCGTCCTCGCATATTAGTACCCCTCATTATTCCCGACACTGATACCGACGATCAACACTTAAATAACCTGGTTACCCAACGGAATACCACAACCGCAGTAATCGACGTAGACGGGGAAAAGAAAACAAATCCCGTGACAAAGCACACGGGGTGCATAAAACGAAAATACTGTGACGGCGGGCAACGACTATACGCCGTAGCTGCCTATACTCGCAGCGCTAGTGCACAAAACGATAAATTATAATATAAAAATATGTGTCGTACAACCGAACATGGACGCGTTGGCCCGGTGTACACAATGAACGCAAATGAGACACGCACGACGGTTACGCTGCATACGGCACGCAGTATTGTTCGGGCTTCCGGTGACCCTGCAGTGGCCGGACACTGGTGGCGGCGGGAGGTTAGGTGTACACCTATACAGTCGAGTTCGGCGCCGGGATCGAGTCGGGCTGCTGCCAGTCGTGCGCGGGTCGTCATGTTGGACAGCGTCCGGTGTCTGATGTCCGTGGTGATGGCTTCGCCGTCCGAACGGCCGGTCGTCACCGCCGACGGCGAACGGCGAGGGCCGGCCAGTCTGCGGCGGCAATCCGGCTCCAAGCGTAAGGTACGCGTGCACAGGATCAGCTCCAGGTACCCGACCGTCGAAGTCCGGACCCGGATGGACTCGTACGGCACCGAAGTGATGGCGCCTGCGGTGACGGCGGCAGAGACCGTCGCCAACTCAAATGCCGTTGACGACGACCTTTGTGGCACCGGCGACGGCTTTTACGGTGACACTCACTCCGCGACCGGCGGATCGTCTTCTTCGTCGTCGTCCTCGTCGTCATCGGCATCATCTTCGACGTCGGCGTCGGCTTCAGACACGGCAGCCGGCTGTTCGTCAGTGTCGGACACGGACTTTTACTACGAAGACCGGACTGACGGCGCCGGGGTGCACACAACCGTGATTGAACTCAGGGCTGAACACGTGGACCGAACTGAGACCATCCAAGAAGAGTTCCAGGACAGCTTGACTCCCGCCTACGACGAAGACGACGATGACCAGCATCAACGCCAGCTGCAGCCGCGCCACATCCGCCGTCGGACAGTCGAAGTCGTCACAAAACATCGGCATGTGCTTTCCGAATCGTGTCGCGTCAAAGTGGAAAACCTGAGGTACGCCAGTGCTCACAGATTATACCCAATATTGTGATAATATCTAGTCGTTTCCAGAATATAGTACATACGAAATCTATATATGTATACTCACATTATCTGTACCTACATAATATACATACGGTCCATACGGATTCGACCTCAGTACGATGACGGTCACCACAGCGGTGGTCACTTAACACCAAACGCGTTGAGCCCTAGCACAATATTCTTATTAATATTTATTGGTATTTTATTTCCTTGTATCTACGATACTAAATCCAAAACAATTCTAATTACAAATACTTGAAGGTATCTTAATTTAATATTGTTCTTTTAGCATTTTTTTTTTTTTTAATTTCTAAAGCCGAGATTTTTTTCTTCTCTTTTGAGAATTTATGGTTAGTTGAAACTATAGACACTTTTACAAACCATGTGGAAGTATTATACTTATTTCTCTTTCCTGTTTCTTTCTTTTTATTTTTCGTACACAATTCATCATAATTTTATCCAAAAACTACTATGTATAGTAGAATAGTGTTAGTGTATGGACTATGATGGACTTATTCAACGATGTTTTCTTTGTCAATTTCAATAATTTATTTGTATATAATATTGTTGCCATTGTTTTTATATTTTAAAGACAATTATTAGATGAATATTGTACTCAAGTACCTGCCTCAGATATTAATATGTTATGAACAGTATTAGAATATTTAACAGTTTAAAAGATCCACTATATACCCTTAATAGTTAATCTTCATGTTTGAATTGTTGGACATTAATTGATATTGTTTTATAACTTACATCTACCGACGTCACATCAAAATGGTCCGTCATAGCGCAAAACCTGTACATTTTATAATGATAGATCTTCATCTCTATTGACCTTCTTTTTTTAATAGTATTTTGTTTTCACGTTTATCCATATGCGTGTTTGTCGTAATAATAAATTTGACGATCTCTACATTGAAAATCATACCATAAATCGATTTACCTATAGTTGAATTGTGCCGTTCTAACGGGAATGTTCCCCGCGCCCGCCAATTACAATAACATTAAAACGTTTTACGACGTTCGAAATTACAAACCAACGAAAGTGGATTTGTAACTTTCCACTCGTTCTGTGTAAAACAGCTGACCACAAATACTAGTTTTGGTATTTAAATCTACTACATTTTAATATTTTGTTTGGACATTGGACGTCATTCGATCATATTTATTACTATACTATAAGTACATTGCATTAATATAAGTACTACAACACTATATAGGTACCAATACACACCACTGGATGGATTTAAAATAAAATAAATAAAACATGAAAATATTTAATTATGACATTTTAAAAAATAAATAGTTTCTAACAATCCTGTGACATTATTTTTATTATGTGTAATATATTTTGAGTAAGTACCTATATTCGTATTGTACAAGTAAATTTCAGGTTTATTTTTTAGTAGCCCAAAAAAATCAATTTTTATGCAAACACGTGATAGCAGAAGAATCGTTCTTCTCACCAGATAACTCGTTTAAGTCAGGGCAAAATAAACAAAAAAGTTTTTATACAATGTTATTTATTTTTATTGTTAGAATTGGAGATGTGACTCTCGGAGTTATAAATGTAGCGATAAAAACTGTGATCAGCTGTTAGTTTAATACACAATAAAAATCCTGGATGGCATTATACTTGATTAGGTACAAAATTTCGATTTCAAATAATCCTGGAGCCGTTAGAATGTTTGCGATTTCGCTTTCTGCAAACTGCAGCTATACCTACGAACTGCTCTTATTCCTTCGTACGCTAACGATACTTGTTTGGTATTTCGTGCCAAAGCAATAATTATATTCATTTCATTTTCGTGCGTTTAACTATGATGTAGTCAATAACAATTAAATATATATAATAATTAAATAACTAAATAACTTATTTAAATTTATATTTGTTTAGTTGAATCATAAAATCTTATATTTAAAATATTGACCAAAAAATGTTCTTAAATAAGTTTTTAGAGCACCGGGTTGCTCTTGTATTTCCCTTTCATACATATAAATTTAAACACCACGAGGTGTTTTCCCGTTCTCGGCAGTGTAGAATATTAACGAGATTAATAAAAATAAGATTTTCCAGTAAGATACAATATATTTGGTTACGTACAATTATAAACGCATACAATATATATCTAATATGTGTAAATATCACAAATATACCACCCTTGGTATGCTACTAGAGAAATCGCTCTCTTATAACACCCCATCTTTCTAAAAACATCTTGATCTCGTTTTCCTGGTTTAATACATGGGTGAAATCTTAAGCACGCTCAACACATTTACACACATAAACGCCATAAAGTGCGGGGAAAAAGGCTGGAAACTATCGTGTTTTCCTCTGACAGACTAACCGTCAACGCGAAAATTAAAGTGATTATTCACTAACGAGTATATATTACCCATTGTTCAATCTTTAAGGAATCATTGAGAATCGAACGGCGTTGAGAAAAACAGTCTGCGCCGCCAGCCACAATTTTCATTTAGACCCACCAACGGAAAATATCGTAGTTACCCGCTCACTATTAATTGCTATAACATAAGCCACGATCCATATTGTATGTACAGTGTGCTTGCGGGGAAGTGACCACACTCTAATTACTATCGTCGGCCAGTCAGTGTAAGGAAAACTCAGCGGCTGTCAGCCTTTTTCTCCACTTACGTCGGGCTATCAGGCTATATAATATTAGTCTGTATGATATGGTCGTGCCATTCGATTTTCGATCAAACCATTTTCGCTTCGATATTGATGTTTCCGGTGAAGTGGTGCTTTGTGGATTTCTGTACACGATTTAATCCTTTATAGAACCTATACTGACAATTTTCGAAAATGTTACGATCTTGCTTTTAATGATCATTGACCGATGGTAGAATATTCAATAATTAATATAATTGACGAGATAGAATATGTTATTGAGGTATTCGGTACCTATACTGAACATCGATTTCAAACAATGCTCTGCCGTCACCAAAAGCTTGCTGGATCATTCATACACTCGTGAGTCGTGGTGCAGTTTCCATATTTCACGTTAAGCCAAGGCCGCAAAGCGTGAAATAATTGATATCACGATTTCATGAATCCGCACGCCACATTATATTCCCGGCGCACAGTTGTCTTCAATATAAGCTTAATGTTGAGAATAAATTACGATGAATACTATTTGTTGACGACCTTTTTATATTATGATAATATAAACAAAATAACTAATGAAAATAAAACTAGTATCAAATAATATAATGTTGGAAGGTTAATTTTCAACAAGTTGGATAAGGTACACCCTATTCGCTGTTTACGGATTGTTTGCATTAATGTATAAACAAAATTTGCATATAGTGAGATAAAACATATGCACTTGGTAAATTTGATTATTATTTATTTACAATTAATATGGATCTATGTATAATTAAATTAATAATATAATAATTGTTCTTTCGTTTTTTGTTTTGTTGCACCAATTACCTTACACCATCTTGAAGACCCCCTTCAAAATTGCCTAAAGTTGTTTAAACACGGGGCGTACCGACATGGGCACATTTATAGTTATGACATGTTAATGAGTTAAATTTTTTTGAATTATTCGAGATCAAACATTATTTTGATGATAAATTAAAATAAACCAAATACCTAGGTAGTCACTTTATATAATGTGAAAATGAGTCTTAAAAGCAGTGATACTCAGTACTCATCACTGCTCATCCTGCGCAATTTTATACAAATACCGTCAACAACAATATTATTTTTATTATTGTGTTAAGCGAGATAAAGGATTAGTATAAAACGACAGTACGTAGGTCTAATAATATACCTATACGCACAACGTTTGTGCTCTGTTTGGCAAAAACAGTTAAGTCGTTACTAATCATGATAATATATGTTATCATCATCGTCATCATCATAATTTTCACCATTATTACTTACTGCTGCTACGTAGGTATATTGTATTTATTATAATACACGAGGACTTCACCGGCCGGAACAAATAAACCACTGGTTCGGTCATGGTTTGTGCGCACTGGCGGATCGCGTTTCCTATGTATGTGACCCCGGTGCGACAAACACTAAAATTATATTTTTATTTCATACACGATAATATTATTATGGGATGTTGACCGTCGCCACTGACGCCCCTTCCACTGCGCCGTGGCCGTTCACCGTGAGTAACGACATATACCGGTGCGCATTTTGTGTTGCCGTATTTGTCGGACTCCAGGCGAACGCGAATTGGATTCTCAAATATCAATTTTATAATAATATCTACTATTGATACAATTTGGTAAAGTTGACACGATTAAAGAAGAATCTTAAAAAAGAAAAAAACATGATGCTAATATGATTTTGCAATTGATTCTTCGTTTACTTACCAGCAAAACGAAGTGTGACTGGCATAACATGAGCAACAATTATTTGAACGCCAAACATGGAAAACACAGAATCGGTTGCATTTAAAAAGTAAACAGCTGTAATTAAAGTGTTTTACAAGTTATATTTATCTGGTACGTGAAATCATATTAAATTATAACGCATATCTGATAGAATGAAAATGAAAATTTAATGAACCGTTTACAAGTTGGTATCTAGTTACATATTTACATCTACCTATACCGTTTATAAATAGAAACGTGCTAATCAAACTAAATTAATATACACAGCGGAACTAATTGAAATGTATGCGTTTATTATTTATTCTATAAGCATTCAACAGTTTAACCATATTAAATATATTGATAATATATATGGGCTACAAGCATATTAACTATACTACACATGAATACAGGTTTTTCATATAGGTACACATACTATACCGTATGTCAGTACCTTAACTACCTATACATTTTAAAGCTATACATAAAATTATTCATTTATATTAAACGAAAATTATTGATGAATGTTGTAGTGATTTTATTTTGATATTCTTTTGTTTGAATATTATATTGTATTTCTACAGCTGTTTGAAATTGGAAAATCGTATGTTAACTCCATAGGTAGGTACTTATACGCATGCAAATAGCATGGAAATACACATATCTCCATGTAATATATTGTAAATAATTATTATTTGCAACCACTTTATTAAACCTTGGATTTAGTCACCTTTTGTACCACCATTTAAAACGCTTATAAAAGTTAAATGTTCAAATGATAGTATAAAAAAATCTGATTAGAAACATACAAATTATCGTAATTCTGTGGTTCTCATCTCCTTTTGAATAGCAATAGTCAGTGGTTGCACTACAATTTATGCATCATATTTTCTGTAACAGTTGGAAAATGATAGGTGGTGAAGTTAAGGGCAGTTATAACTGTTTATCATTAACTTTGTGTTAATATCCTCGATTTCATAATTTCTTAAATGTTTAAAATTTGTTGTGATGCACACGTTTGATATTTATTTAATTTGATAAAATGTTTTGTCGTTAAAATAGTTGTTTTCTCCGTGTAAATTTTAATCTTTCAATATTAAGAAGCTATATTTTAAACAAAGTATTATAAACATTTTTATTATTACGTAAAAATAATATTTTATTAAAAAAAAAATATATTATGACACAAATATGTACCTACGTTTACCTATATTATGATACAAATATGAAATAAGAAATAACTTACAAGTCTTAATTTAAACGTTTAAAATATTAACGACATAATATAAAGATTCCAGCCTTGAAATATTAGCTAAATATGGACATGTGCCATGATTTTAAAATGATTACGGATTCTAATGGTTACCATTTACTATAAACTGAATAGGAAAGTTGTTCGAATATATTAATTGTGATAGTATCTATGAAAAAGTAATAATGAATCTAACGTAACTACTCATAGTAATTAGAAATTACTTATATTCTACCATAATTTCTTCATAAAAAGTCTAGTGTATACTTATAAGTTATTATATCGATGTAATTTATTTATTAAATTATTCAAAGTGATCAACAAAATAACTATAATCGGAATTTTTTGTATAAATATCCTATTTTGTAGAATTTCTAACTTACTTAAGATGTTAATAAAAAAACCGCGATTATAAAATCAAGATATTTTTTAGTCGCTGTATAAGAAACTAAAAATTAAATTTCCAAGCTTTTTTACTCACAAACAAACATTTTATTATAAAAAAAAGTCAACAATTTCTATTATTTATTATCTATAAATAACACAAAGAGAGCCAAAATAATATATTGAAAATTCATCATATCTAATAAATCTATAAAGATTTGACTATCGACACTTGAACTAAAATAAAATTCGTTTATAATCACAATTATTACTAGGTATATCAAAAAATTAATACTCTATTTTTAAGTGTGTTGTTTTATCAATTAAAACATATTTTAGATATATGATTTTTATTAAAATCATTATAGTTTAGACTTTTAGAGAATACTATTATTTATTGTACTAGGTAGGTATACATAATATTTAGTCAGACGCATAACGCATGTTAAATAAACAATATAAATATTATTGATAAATAAATCTACATACATTACGCGTGTCATGTTGAAAGTGAACAATATGATAAATGTATACAAACATTGATTGTTAAACATTCTTGTTCAATGTACACAGTTAACGCATAAGACATACATATACAATAATAAATAATAATACAGGTATACCCAATAATAATAATGATTATTACTGTTGTTTGTAATAAAAACACATGGTGTATGACTGGCCAATCCAAAAATCTTTGTTTTCTATACGGTTGATTGCTTAATTGTTACGAGTATGACGTGATTAACTTTCATTAGTCAGTATAATAATATAAACAATAATTAACTTTGATTATTCAATAATTATGTTTACCTACTGCTGTCAGCTGCGCAATCCGAACGTTTTAAGTGCATAATATTACATATGTATTATTATTTTAAATCTTTCTCTCTCTTGTTCAGATATGGTCGAGTGAACGTGGTCAGGTGGCTATTGTGGGAAGCAGACATGCCGGTGCTGGAAAGGTCCAACAACGGTGCTCTGGCACTGCACTACGCGTCGGCCAGGGGATGTCTGGACTGCGTGAAGCTCCTGTGCAAATCAGCCGGTGAAATATGGTAAGTTTAGTGGATACGATAGTCAATAATATTAAGAAAAATCAAAAGGATGATGATATTTCTCAAAGGTCGAGTTACACCTAATACCTATTTACACTCTGCATCACTGAATAGTGGTATTCGAAAGTGATCAATGTAGTATTGTAGTTATTAGTCAATAAGCAATAGCCGTAATGGTATATAATATTATTATACTAATAATGACCGATTCGAAATTAATCGTTTTATATTAATGTGTGTAGTATAAAAAGTAGTTTTCTTCTACACAGCCACGCGTTGACGTTTTACTTTACTGGCATGATAGTTACATCAGCTACACATCTTTCATTAGAATTTAAATATAATGCTTATGCATGTACGTATATTATTAGTTATTACACTATAAATTATAAATCGATTTTTGAAACCTAATAAATAATATTATAATGAAACGCTACGTTAAAAGTTTCTACTGCTATACCTACGTTTGATAGTATTTATGTTCTTCGTCCGTTTACATAAAATAAACGTCAAACGTCTTAAGTAAACGATTAGCTGAATAGGTATACATTAAAAGATAATGAGTAATGACCGACGTCGACGAGTTGTTTCTTTTTGTAGAAACGCATTCAAACACATAAACACATAATATAGACGTCTTGTTTTAATAATATTTACGTATAATAATATTATTAGTCATGCAAGTGTATTGAAAGGGGAAATCATTGTTCCGACGTAGAATAACAAAATTGCAATATTTCAGCTCGTCTTTGGATTCGTCGGATGAAAACGACATTTAAATTTAAAAAAATAATTAAAAGCATATGATAAGTATTATTGAACGCCAATTTTTTGCGACCGTGGTATGGAACTTGACATGCACAAATTATGCACCATAAATACGATATACCTAGTTATGTACCGACATAATATACTACTCCCAATTTTGTTCTAAAGCTGGCCAGTGGTGGCAGCAGCCGCAGCGTAGTCTATTAGCTGTGTTGGCCTTTAAGATTCGATTAATAACCACAGTACTGACGCTTGTATCACTGTTATATGACGTTATATATTATAAGATATAGCTGATGCTTTTTATAGTGAAAAGTGAAAGCGGCCTCCGTCGTTGTCGTGATAATATTTTCGTCTTATCCTATTGCTACGTCGTATAGTCTCAACTTCCTTCCCGATACGCATAATTGATTTTTATTTTTCGATTTTTATGCAATCGATTTACACTCGGAGATAATTTCTACGAACACGTTCGAGTAAAAGATGATACTTCCACCGCTATTCTTCACTCTCGGATATCCAGTTATTTCGTTTTTAACCACAGCCGCGCGTAATAACCACCACCACACAAATTCGTATCATCGCATTTCGAGAAAATAATTTATGTCCAAGAGCATATTATTCTGAGAAGCATTATTGTCAACTGTCAAGTACCGGTATATTATTTAACAGTGAGCACTGAGCAGTGGTTATTTAATTGGTACCTTTATTTACATGTACATTACACGTGTTACCTATTAAAAAAAATATCGTTGCGCAACACGGCATTTTGAAAAGGGACAAGTCTTGTACATCACTATTACATGAAATATTATGTTTATTACATTAAAAAAATTGTATACGATATACGTACCACGTCCACGTGTATATTAATAGCCAATCTTTGAAGGAACTCGAGATTCCACAGACGAGCACTACAATACTACATACAACCTCACCTGTTGCTCTGTGGTTCACACGAAACGAGAAGCTTCCGTTGGATTCCGCGCGTTTATTATATCTTTAAAGAAAACACACAGCTCGGATTTATGATATTAATAATATAACCTAGACTGCGTGTTATTTCGTACACTTTTACTTTTGGACGCCCGCCTGAAAAATTCTTCTTAATTATCATATTGGCGTACAAGAATAATATTATTATAATAATATAAATATTATGTGCACGGAATCTCATCTGTTCGAACAACTCACTGCGATCCCGTCGGATGCCTTCATAATATAGTAAATAGGTAAATAGGTAATGATGATTATGAAGATGATAATAATACGTAATACCTACGATATAAATGCAGTAGGTATAGGAAAAATGGTGAGATTACCGGTGCCTACATAACTGCATACAATATTCTATAGGAAGTGAAGCTCTCCGTGAACATTATTATAATACACGACCGCAGTTTTATAACAGAAAACCAGCGACGGGTAAATGGCCTGTGCTGCTGTAGATATGTGCGTGTTGTTATCGGTAATACATAGGTAGGTGTTGTAGATAGGCACTTGTTATACGATCGATTGTCAGCGGACAATGTGATGATTGTCCCCACCAACTGAAACCAATAAGACGTGACGACTAGATTATTATTAATATTTATTATTATAATATTATGTACCCGGGTATGTTTTTTCTAATCCCACAACAAATCGTAACGATCTCTGGCCAGCAGCGTTTCCGCCGTGTTTTGATATGGGATAGTAGGTACTACTATATCGAGCACCGGGCTTATAATAATATTATAGTGCATGCAATACAATATTCGGCGGGCGTACTGTAATTGTTATAGTTAGAAAGTTGTAATAATTGTTATAAACGAGCGAACGGCTGTATGTCGATGCGGTTAATCGTTTTTCCACAAGACTCGGCTAAATATTTAGTATTTACTATTTGCCGCCTACCTACTCGTTTTGTCACAATATAATATGTAATATTATTTTATGCCACAGTGCAATATGGCTGGTAGACGTGACAAATCTCTAGATATTATCAAAACACTCTCGTTTTTTTGATTCCATAACAGAGCTAAAGACGTAGAGCACGCATACGAAATTGAATTAAACCGTTTTGTTTTCTTAACGGACTTTTTTTTTTCGAATAATAATTATACTCCCAAAACTATTCCTTAACGGACTATTTAACATGCAACGTACTGGATCAACAACGTAATATATTATTTTTTTTTGTACATTTTGTGTGTGGTTTATCTAATTATAATATCTATTTGTCCTCATAATTATATACTTAGCTATTACAATTTACAACTAAAATATAAGATTCTAAACAAAATTTTGTAACACACATAATCAGGCTCAATACGCTGAATTTTAAGACCCTGCGGCCTGCAATAAATGCCTATGCCAGCCCCATAAAATATTAATTAATATAAAATAAGTATTCCTATCAACATTTCAAAATTTCAAAAATTACAAATTCATTTCAACGGTCCCGTTGTGGGGTCCCTGCACGTTATAATTATTCACATACTGTATACTTGACATGTATTATATCTTGTATTTACAGTGGTTGTATATACAACCTATGCTTGTCACTAGACAAGTGACAAATGGTCTTCTGAGTGACATTCGCAGCAAATCGATCGGTAGTTATACACGGGCTTGTTCCACGGCAAGGAACACCGTAGATTGTTTTAGTTTTGCTCTATTTTCAGCTATATGTACCTAACTTGAATATTATAATAAAGCCATATTTACTTAACTCCATCATTCTTTTCTAGCCATATAATTAATTTCAATTTCAAATGGTATGTTGTTTATTATATGTAAAAAAAATTTACATTCACTTATCAAATTTATTCTTAATTCTTATCGATATTTGTAACTAAAGGTTTTATCTTATTTTAATAGAAATGATATTATACAATTACAATTGTGTACTTGGAATCTATTCTCTTATGACTATGACAATAATTTTTGGTGGATCTTTATAGGGGTGTAAAATTGGTTTGAAGGGCTGGGACCGAATTAAATTACACACATTCCGCAACGGTAGTTGTTACCATTGGCACCATTGTAATATTATGTTGTATGAAGGTACAAATGTACAATACTACTTTCTATAAATAAGTAAAGTCCGCGAAGATAGATATTAAGTACCAATAATTTATGGCTGTTAGTAACCTATAATGACACGATTTAATAAAAATGTACACCGCAAGTACAGTTATTTTTTTTCGTAATAATAGGCATACCTGATTCAATTTGTATATTATATACATACTTAAATATAAAAACATACTTCATTTATACTGTTTTGCTAAAGATTAAAAAATGTACAAACGGCATAACTTAGTACAATATCCAACGTATTAACTACTAAGCAATACTACGTATTTACTTTATTTATAATATAATATTAAGAAGATATAAATAGAAAATGTAATTTAAAAAAAACTAAGAATTTGTTTTTAATCTCGAATTAGTTCCTCTTATAATATAGGTACATACCTATTATTTAATAATCAGTTCTAAATATTTTACTTAAATACAGTCGAAAGTTTAAAACTATTATACAAATATTATTATGAAACATGTCTTATTTAAAAAGATTATAAGAGGTAACACAAAAGTGAAAAACTTTTTTCTTTATAAGTTGATAAAAAATCAAATTAGTGATTATGCCTCACGTTTGTACATGTGTGTAAGGCACACAAAGTAATAAATCTATTAATTAGTGTCATAATATTTTTTTTATAAACTAGTATAGTTATTGGTTGGAGAACTCAAGTATACTCCAGTGAGTAATGACTAATGAGTAATGACAATAAGGATACCTTGTTATATGGCAAATTGTTATGCAATTGACAATAATTGTATATTGACACGAATACACTATTAATTATGTTACTGTAACAATACACGTAACTTAAATGATATTACTACGTAAAATACTACTTAATTTAATAATAAAAAACAAGATCACTGTTTTTATGTCAATGATTATTTGCTTCAATGTTTAACGCTGTTATATACATCCGTAACGAAACTTATAAACAAACAACATTAATTTACACAGTATGGCGTTTGTTTCCAAAAACAATTGTATTTGATTACCTATGCACTTTGCTAGTCAAACTCATAATTTGGTTTTAATTGGAAAGTCAATTTATTAATTAATTACTAATATTGAATCTAATTTCTGTGTTTAATGCATTTAATTCATGTGATGAATAGTTTTTTTCATTATTCAAGTAGGTACTTACTTATCAATAGTAAAA